CCCCAAAACCCCAAAACCCCAAAACCCCAAAACCCCTTAAATTAGCATTAGAATTGAAATCCAGGAAAGTAGCCAGCCAGTGCATGAAGGAATTGGACAGGAAAGAATCTGGAGAGTAAGCAGGCTTGAGTAGGAGTTGAGTGAAAGTTTTAAGAGATGTTCAGGCTTTTAGTTATTTTGGATGGGGGATCTGTGGGGAGAATTGCTTCTGGGAGTTTTGGAGAAGGGATTTTGGAGGTTGGGGATTGGTTTGGCCTTCTTTGTTTCTTGGATTTGGGTTTATTGGCTAAAAAGGTGTGAGCAGGTTTTTGGATAGGTTAAAAATTTTGAGTTTGAGATGAATTACGTACGATTTGGTTTGGTTTTTCTTTTCGGGGGTTTTGGTTGGTGAAGAGGTTGTGAATTGGGTTGATTTAGTGGCTGGGATGGTTTAGGGTAAGATTTTATGACTCGAATTTCAGTTTTGGGACGACTAATTGTGTGGTTTTTACCGCCAGGTCTTGTAAAAGCATCATATGGGAATTTCTCATCATTATTTTGAGAGGTAGTTGCAAATGGAGCCATTCCATGTTGCACTAAAGGACTACTCTGCTTGCTATCCCTCCCTCCAAAGCTTAGAACACTTTTCAACACACCAAAAGCAACCAGCGCTATATTAATAATTTTACATTCCTACCTCCTCCAATCTTAACAAATGCTTCGCCAAGTAAGTTCTTATCAGAGGCGAGATTCTGTTGCCTATAATGTTCCCGTTTCTTCAAGTCCTCATAATAATTACCACCATAAGCACTCCCCGAGTTTTCTGAACCTACATTCTCACTAGCAGCTAAAGTTAAATACTATGCTTACTTGTCTTTCCATATGTTTTAGTGTAAGTCTGAGTGGTCTTATAATACGATGTTTGCTGACCGCCTTGTCTATGACAGCTGCAGGCACTGAAGCTTACCTGCCGTTGATAGAATCATATCTTCCCTGGATCAGGTAGTCATACTTAGCCTTCTTTTTATTATTGCCCAGAACTTCATATGCTTCAGTAACCTTATTTAAAGTTCTCTTCTTCAAATTTAGTGGCATTTCCAAGATCAGGATGATATTTATTTAGCTTTTTCATAATATTTTCTATAGCTTAGTACAAGATTCCTACTTTTTGATCAATTCAGAAGTGGCGTCATTGCTGATTCCAAGTGTTCTGTAGTAGTTTTTACTTGGATCAATGCCTGTTGTGCAGAACATCCGAATTCCTAGGTTTCTGTAACAAATATCATCAGGTCCAACCAAGAAGGAGGTGCTACTTACACTGTTAAAATCCTATTTGCTCTGAATAAATTCATGGCTAAATTAAATAATAATACAAACCTGGGGTTTTGGGGTTTTGGGGTTTTGGGGTTTTGGGG